GGTTGGCATTTTTCCATTTTGGGATTTCTGGTTTGATTTCCGAGTGTCAGAAATCGTATCTACGTAAGAGAAACATCGAGTGCATTGCCTTCGGCGTCCAAATGTATGTGTGCTAGTGTAGTGGACAAAACCAAGCGCATTCCATTGGAGATTGCTTTGATTCGTTTTGCTAAAGGAGACAGAAAGTGACTCCCTCGCTCGTTTGATGGTGCATTTCCTGTCACAATGTGAGAATCTTTGCCCATTTCCGTTCATGCAGGAATTTCATCGGTTTCGTTGATGGAGTTTGTTATAGGATTAGAGCTGAATGCGATTTTCTGATTTTGTGCAATGTACTATTGTGAAAAACTATGCCTAAAAATTGCATGTGAAGTCATAGTTTTTTTTACATTGGGTATTCAAATGAAAAATAAAACTATCTGCATCCGGCAGGTGCTGCGAGGATCCCAACACAATTTTTATATAGCATCGTGCTCCATTAAGAGCCTCTGGTCAAGCTTTTCATGTAAACAGCTCTTCTGTGTCACTCTGACATGACAAAAGCAGAAATCACACTGCCGACATGTGATAATATTGAGGTACATACATCGAAGTAAGCTGCTGCAAAATAGTGTAAAAATATACTCTCCACGGCGTGCTTGGTAGGAAAGGAACACTCGGCAATGAGTAACCAAAACCAGGACAGGCTGAGCGCTGTATGGCCTACTAGATGGTGTTGAAAAGGAAAACAACACAAAAGGGAGGAAATGTGTTGTTTTGTATATTATATAAATAAAGTGCAGGATTCAAACTTTATTGTTTCGTCTCACCCGAAGCTACATACAATGCGTATTGAAAGCTCGTTGTATGAACTGGTAGAATATTGCAAAATTTAGCTTTATTTCCATGTAGAGTGGAGAATGGCTTTGACACTCCCTGGACCATATTTCAAGCATGGGGTAAACAATAACTTCAAACTGCAGTATGATACTTCACATTATAGAGCATATTTTGGATGGATGGAGAAACAGTTCCTAACACAATTCAGGCTAGCCGAAAAATCTTGTCATTTACAAATGAGTTACTGGAATGTTGACCTGCAATAACATGATATTAGAGAAATGCCAACGTTCTCACATGACCTCAATTTGAATATTGTAATGCACAGTTAAACGTATCATTTTGCTAGCATCATAATGAATGTGTCATCGTCTCGCCCGATATGGTTTCGATGACGGGGAAAGTATTTTCCCCTTGTAGTATAAGTTACTAGTTACTTCATCAATATTCAATGAAGCTCCGCTCATCACTTTTGCATCTTTTATTCATAGAAGATACTGATTTATTCATCGGGTGGTAAAATTCCATCCTTGAAATTCCTATGCCAGCACCTGACTTTTAGAGCACTTTTCAGACCGATACAGCAGCAAGCTTTGGACCAAACAAGTAATTATTCGGTAAATTAATTCAGTGAGAAAATTTTTGAATTCAATAAATATAAATAAAAATAACGCATACAAGAAAAGCACATCTAATAGACCATACATTCTAAGTATTTCGTACAGTAAAAAATTGACAGTCTGCTTCGTATGGAATTGACTTAATACATGGTGTCGGAAGTACACGCCATTTCCATGTCACTACTTAATTTTCCCTCCTTCAACTGAGAGTGCTTTGCTTCCACAAATTGGTAGTGAAAAGAGCCAGTGTGCAAAGCAAGCTATGGCAAACGTTATCGCCTGCTGACGCCAAAGGAAAAATGCAAATTTTGAATAAGTGCATAGAAGCAGAATCTTCTGCTAGCTGTGGTGGTGCAAGTAAAGAGAAAACGTCGTCTGCTAGTCTGATGCCTGATAAAAGACTCTCAGAAAGCTTCCCCATCTGCCACTGTCTTGGCTGACATCGTCGTCGTCCTCGACGTCAGTTTGACAATGTATTCAAAGTTTACTCTGTGTGGACCGAGCGTGACCGGAAGAAGCCGGGACTTTGACACTGATTCCGGACACGAAGTGAGCAAGCTGAGCAGATTAGACTGCCAGAAGGTGGCAGACGACAGTGGCGAATTTGTGGTAAATAAAGATGATTGCGCAATTGCATCGGTCTTTATTTTAAATGTTAAAGGAGTAAATTTTTCATTTAATGTTCACGCAACTTCATGGAAAGCAGTTGGAATTCGACCACAGTCAACTTAGAAACTGTATGCCATTGTCAACTGTCATGCGACCTCTCATAGTCATCATGGCCTGCTTTATGTAGGATTGTTTTCTATTTCGCAGCATGCATTCTCTCGTTTTCCCATAAGGTCCATAGCAAGTAGGCGGGTATCTGCAGTGCAGCCTTGGATATCTCGAGTACATATAACGAATGCATCCATTATGTAAACCATAGCAGCGAATATCTCCTTCACTGAAAACGACAACTCCTAACAAGTGGAATTTCATTTCAAGGATTCAAAATGATACGTACTTACAGTTTGTGTTGATTCTGGAAGGGGGAAATGGTGTAAAACGTGCCGGCAGGGTTATGTCGCGTCACCAGAAGCCATTTTGATTAAACTTTTATTTAAAATTACTCCCAAAATATTACAACAATACAAGTTTATTTCAATGTGTTTGTTGAATTTTCATAGGCAAAAATAAGAGCATTCATAACTCATGATATATGAATCAACTTGCTACATTAGCATCTTCTTGATTACAGAAAACAGAATGGTTTCCGATACCAAATAAGTGTTTTTAATTAATAAAGTTCTGAGTTGAGGGTAGGGCAATATGCGCCATGTAGAGATGAACTAGCCGTAGGCTAAAAATCTGTAAAATAAAGACTTAAAAAAAAATTAAAAATATATACATATGCGCTATGTGGCTTGGTAGCTCCTAAACAGCCGTTGACGTTTAAATTGCTGTTATGAGCTACCGTAATCCAGGGGAAAATTAAACACCGGGGTGAAATTGATCAATATGCGTTGAACTTTTAATTGTCACGTATAACATCTTCGGTGCTAGATATCAAGCGAAATCTTAAAAACATATCATCATGAGACTCCAATGATTGTTCTGATGTGTTTTTCAATACACAAATTGTATTTTATTGCATGTTATAGAGCTGACGTTAAGTAGCATATAATATCAGCATCCAAACAAACGATCATAGGACTGCAACGATTGATGTCATTACCATTCAAGTAGCATTTTTTACTAAAATAAGTGTCAATCAGTGTCTCTGCATCACCAAATTATTTAATAAATTTCGGTAGAATATTTCAAATGTAAAGAAATCCAGGGTATTTATCAAAATTTCCAGTGATTTTTAATTAAATTATGTACATATAGCCGCCACTATGCATTTAAGACGTCTTTTTTTGTTGGCATTTCTGCTAAAAATACTTTCCACGCAAGGGTTTTAGGATCAGGAATCAGGGAACGTAGAATCAAGTGAGCGTGAAGCGTGATAGTTCGCATGTAAACAGAATCTCATTGGTTAGAGAATTTTGATAGGTTAGCAGGTATAAATATGAAGTACCTAAGCTCGTTGAAGTCATCCCGATCCGCAAACCTGGGAAAGACCCTTCACTACCGTCAAGCTACAGACCGATTAGCCTGCTCTCAGCGCTGAGCAAGCTGTTCGAAAAATTGATCCTCAGCCGACTAAACAAGTTTGTGGAGGAACATGACATTCTTCTTCCGGAACAGTTCGGGTTCCGTAAGGGGCATTCCACCAATCATCAGCTAGTGCGGGTGATGAATAACATCCGGAGTAACAAAGCTGTATCCAAGTCCACAGCCATGGCCTTGTTAGACGTCGAAAAGGCGTTTGACAATGTCTGGCACGACGGACTTATATACAAGCTTTGTAACTCCAACTTTCCACCATACCTTGTGAAAATCACCCGTAACTATCTCCAGCAAAGGTCGTTCAGGGTGTCGTTGAATAGTTCCCTTTCGGGACAATTTCCGATCCCAGCAGGTGTTCCGCAAGGGAGTCTGCTGGGACCACTGCTTTACAGCATCTACACGTCGGACATCCCTCCTCTAGGAGACGGTTGCGTGTTCTTTCTGTTTGCAGATGACACCGCGATAGCCGTCAAGGGTAGGATGCCTCGTGAAATTACGAACAAGCTCCAACGATGCCTTGACACCTTTACTGATTATGCCACCACGTGGAAAATCAAAATCAACGCCTCGAAAACCCAAGCGATCATGTTCCTTCACAGACAATCATTAAAACTTAAACCGTCTCCCTCCTGTACCGTAATAATGGATGGTACAAGGGTCGAGTGGTCCACTGATGTTACTTATCTCGGGATGTTGTTCGATGAGAAGCTCCTGTTCCGCTCGCACATAGAGAAAACCCTAGTTAAGTGCTCCGCCTTGGTTAGGTGTTTGTATCCGCTCATTTGCCGCAGATCCCGCCTCTCAAGGCAAAACAAACTGGCTGTTTACAAACAGATCATAGCCCCCGCGATCTTCTATGCCGCCCCGGTGTGGGAATCGTGCGCTCAGACCCACAGGAACAAAATCCAGGTTGCACAGAATAGAGTGTTGAGGATGATCCTAGATCGTCCATTCGACACAAGAATAGCAGACCTCCATCAAGAGGCAGAAATTCCCAAAGTAGATTCCAAAATTGATGATATGACAACTAAATTTATTCAAAAATGCAATCTTTCTGAACATGCTTTAATAAGCAATTTGTACATAGTAGGTTAAGTGTATATAGTAGAGTAGGTTAGTTTTAAGCTGTAAATAGTAGTATTAAGTAGTTTCTCTTCAAATTCTAAAAACAAAACAAACCAATCCCACCAAGGTGGTCGACCGTGTACTAAGTCTAGGACTAATTCTGTAAAACAAATTTTGAATTTTGCCCATACCTAAAGATGAAGAAAGCAATTAAATCACTTAGTAAAAATTTATATGGTAATCGTCCAAGTTAAACTAAAATAAAGATCATTTAAACTAAAAAAAAAAAAAAACTCGTTGAAGTCATTCTTGTAACGAATTTTGGAGGTGACTGACCACCAGCAGCAGCAGAAACAGCAGCAACAGAAATAGCAGCAGCAGCAGCAATAGAAGCAGCCGGAGCCGTGGGACCTGCATCGCTGGTTCGTATAGCCATGGCCGGAAACCTCGGTCCGGTCACGATAATGGCGCAGTTGGTACGATAGTGTAAGTATAGTGGAATGACTAAAGAACTGAAGAATTATTTTGAAAAAATTTCCATGACCCGAAGGATGGTAGATAGAATTACCATGACCTGATGGATGGTAGATAGAATTACCATGACCTGATGGATGGTAGAAAGAATTACCATGAACTGATGGATGGTAGATAGAATTGCCATGACCTGATGGATGGTAGATAGAATTACCATGACCTGGTAATTCTGGGACGGATGGTAGATAAAAATTTCCATTACCTGATGGATGGACTGAAGAAATTTAGAATTAGTTAGAATTGCCATGACTTCATGGATGGACTGAGGAAATTTTTAAATAGTTAGAATTGCCATGACCTGATGGATGAAATATCTCTGAGATGGTAGATGAAAGTCCCCCAAGAGGGTAGATAAAATTCCCCTAAATGGGTGGATATAATGCCCCCCTTCCTCAATTAAGGAAAGTAGAAGAGGGGAAGAATGTAGTAGATAGAGTTAGTGTTGAATAAATAATGAGTAGAATCAAGTGAGCGTGAAGCGTGATAGTTCGCATGTAAACAGAATCTCATTGGTTAGAGAATTTTGATAGGTTAGCAGGTATAAATATGAAGTACCTAAGCTCGTTGAAGTCATTCTTGTAACGAATTTTGGAGGTGACTGACCACCAGCAGCAGCAGAAACAGTAGCAACAGAAATAGCAGCAGCAGCAGCAGCAGCAGCAGCAGCAGTAGCAGCAGCAGCAGTAGCAATAGAAGCAGCCGCACCCGTGAGAGCTGCATCGCTAATTCGTGTTGCCGTGGCCGAGGCTGGAAACCTCGGTCCGGTCACGACACAAGCCATTAGGGATTTTCCTTATTAGAGAGTTATATAGATTTTTCTCCTTTAGCTCACTTAAATCTTTGGGTTTTATTAGTTAGGTAGGTTCCGATTCAACACATTGTAGTTTCATGTTTATACCTATGATCTTGACTTTTTTACCTAGGGGATGAGTACTTAAGGGGGTTAGATTTTGATAAGTTCTTTAGTGGGAATGACACTGATGAAGACTGCACATTGTAGTCGAAATACGTATCTGTCATGGATACCATGGATACCATGGACTTGATCAATTGACTTGCCCTGTCTAAACCCAGCTTAAGAGATGAGCGGACGCGAACTGGCTGGTTTTGAGCCGAACGAACTGTCAAAGCCAGAGCCATACGAGCAGCGCCTATCTTGATAACATTGGCAGTGTTGCTGACCCTCTCATAGTCTGCATGCTTCAATCAGATTCGTGAAGTAACCCACAATAAAAACACACCAATATTTAATGTAACAATAATTTTTATTGCAATAGAGTTGTTCATTATTGTTCATGATCGAACCATATTAACAATAAAATAAATGAAAAATACGATAAAAATCATTGTAACAACATTTTATTATGTACATTCATTGTACAGTTAGGTATCAGTTTTGCCGTTTTCGGAAGGGTACAACAATATAACAATAATTTTTATTATCGACAATAAATGTTAATGTTAGAGCATTGCTTCCACTGAAAATTTCACTGTTATTTTTTTTTTTCGGGAAAACATGTCGCAATTGTGAGCGCAAATCTCACCCAAAGCAACGCTGCTCCGATGTGGCTGCAGCAACAGCAGCAGCAACAGCAGCAGCAAACGAAGACAATACTCTCAGTAGCAGCACCAACAACAACTACGTTAACATCAAGAACAAGAACAACAACAATGCACACAAACTTCCATCAAACGCAGCCAACAGTAAGCAGTGGCCCTCGCTCCCGAAATCGATACCAAATGCAGACCAACAGCAAAACAACAAAACCGAAATGAAACGCCAGCGATCAGTCGACACCACAAACAATGCAACCAAAAAATTGAACGCAAATGACTCAGGCGAAAGTGATAGCAGCCTGATCTCTGTGAGTGGCGATATTTGTCCATATACGCAGCGCCCATATACGACCCCAGATCTTTCGCATATTGACGATCCTGAAGAACGGTGTGCATTGATCGAGGAAAGCAAGAAGAGGATTGGTGCCATATATTTAGAGTAAATTGAAAATAAGAAAAAGAACAAGAATGTTTTTTAACTATGATTTTTTGTATTTGGATAGACCTCGGCTCCGTAAAGTTTAACGATATTTGAGGCTAACAAATAAACGAACAGTTAAATGCTCCTTTACTTTCAAACAGTATCCTAAATACGGTTCGAACGAAACCAAGAGTATGAGCAAAACAAATATTTCACAATATCCTAAATCGCATCAAAATACTAATTTAATGTCGCTACAAACGGAAATCATACCAACACGACAAGTGAATTTATACAGAAATGTGGAATTCCGTATTATTTCGATACATTTACTGCCCGATTTTTTTTCAATGCGTTTTTTTTTTCCTTTATTTACAAGGCTTTCAGCCATTGGCTGGTTCGCCTTGGGAAAACTTTTCAATTCGTGACATTTAGAAGTAATATCATTTATTAGACGTGTTTCCTTCACCATGGACGGTAGTGAAGCAAAGGGTTATTTTTAATTTCTTTATATTTGCAACGATGATGATTTCCCATAGTGACACACAGGGCTACTTCCACTCACTTGCTATAAAAAATGTTTATTGGAATTATAAAATCATGAATTGGTATAGTGTATCAAACACCCGCCCTTCAATCTCATCCCATATCTAACAAGTACAAATCTCCATTACAACATTTGTTCTGTATACAGAGGATCGGGAAGGCTTATTAGAAACTTCTCACTAATAAATTAATACTCTTCTAGTAAATTTTGCATATCATTTTATTAAAATTTTATTTCAATTAGCATAAAATTTTGGTTACAGTCAATTAGCATTAGCATACGATACAAGAGATTTAATATTACTTGCTCGTGTTTGTTTCTTGTACTATTACTTAACTTTGAACAGTTTTATTTATTTTTTTTTTCATGTGATGGATTTCCCAGTTTGGTTAGAAGTTTCGAAGCTAACGCATGTCCACAGGTCTAATAGAAAGTAAGGTAGAAAAAGTGTATCATGAAGAAAGGCTGCGCGCAGGGTTGCTTCCACTCACTTGCTATAGAGGAGTGATTTTCGGAGTTTTGAGTTCGTTAGATATCGTAATTGAGATTTGTACTTGTTGGATACGGGATAAGATTGAAGGACACAAGGGTGTTTGACCCATAAGACCCGTCAATTTCGCTTTCAGAGTGTCGCAATCAGCGATTTTATGATTCGTGAGCGTTCACTCAGAGTGAATTGATTTTGACTATCTGCAAGTAGATTTAACAGGTTTTATGTATAATGAGAGAGAGAAGGATTAGTATTTTCCATTTAATTCCACTACTTTATTTGCTTATCCTTGACAGATACGCGTATTTCGTCTACAATGTGCAGACTTCTTCAGTGTCTTGTACTAATACTCGACTGAAGAAAAACATCGCATTTACCGAATATATATTAACACATGTACATTTTCACTTAGAAACTAGGTAAACTTAAATTTAATTTTCTATAGGAACAGGTACTCCACTGCTTACTCGTTGATGTGTCCTAGGTAGTAACTTGAAAAGCCATGTGTGTCCGTTTCCTTGATCCCTGTTGAGTAAAGTTGAATTACGTTGTTTGTTGATCTCGAGGCTTTGTGCAACATCCAATTTCCATGGTGTGATGTCCTCCGTCGAGAAAGGAGCCCCAATGGGAAACCCCCTATCCCCCTTCTTGTGTGAACTTTTCATGGCCAACTTGGAGACAATCCTGAAGGAGAAAGGACTATTACCAAACCGTTGGTGGAGGTTTGTTGACGATATCTTCAGCGTAGTTAAACGGGAAGCCCTTCCACAAATTTTAGATGAGATCAACAGAATTCATAAGGATATCAAATTCACTCACGAGGTAGAAAAAGACGGGAAACTCGCATTTCTCGATCTTCTAGTCATCAGGGAATCGTCATCATCTTCCTCGCTTGAATACGAAATTTACAGGAAACCAACAAGCACCAAAAGAGTTATCCCCTATACTTCCAACCATTCGTTCCAGCAGAAAATGGCCGCCTTTCACCACATGATTCACCGAATGCAGACTCTTCCACTTAGCGATACAGGAAACGTTAAGGAATTACAGTACATCTTCGAAACAGCAAGACTCAACGGATACAAGGAGACCACAATCCAGGCAATCATCGATAAAAAAGCGAGAATTCTACAAAGGAGATTATTTACAACCCTCACCTGAACCATTGAAACGAGTGTCCGTTCCATTTGATCAAGATATTACTTGTAAACTAAGACCACAGTTAAAACAATTCGGATTAGATTTAGTTTTCACCAGTAGACATAACCAGTTGAAATCATTGTTAGGATCCACTAAAGACCCAGTTAATGTTTTAGGTAAAGCAGGTGTATATAAAATAAGCTGTAATCATTGTAACAAAGTATATGTAGGACAAACCAAGAGAAATTTAGCAACTAGATTTAAAGAACATATAGCGGAGGTTAATAAGGCCAAAAAGCAAGAGGAAAAAGGCCTAACATATGATTTCAAATCAAAGGTTGCAGAACACATCTTCACAGAGGACCACCAACTATCGACGGAGGACATCACGATTTTACGAACCGTATCTACACCATGGAAATTGGATGTTGCAGAAAGCCTCGAGATCAACAAACAACGTAATTCAACTTTACTCAACAGGGATCAAGGAAACGGATACACATGGCTTTTCAAGTTACTACCTAGGACACATCAACGAGTAAGCAGTGGAGTACCTGTTCCTATAGAAAATTAAATTTAAGTTTACCTAGTTTCTAAGTGAAAATGTACCTGTGTTAATATATATTCGGTAAATGCGATGTTTTTCTTCAGTCGAGTATTAGTACAAGACACTGAAGAAGTCTGCACATTGTAGACGAAATACGCGTATCTGTCAAGGATAAGCAAATAAAGTAGTGGAATTAAATGGAAAATACTAATCCTTCTCTCTCTCATTATACAGGTATTCCACTAAGACGCCCACATTCATCAGGAGGTTTTATGTGTCAGACACTTACCTTCTGGCCTCTTTTTGTGTCTACCATGTATAAGGTATCATTGTAGCATCTGATGGTTTCGGGATTCCGAGGATCATTTTTTTTGTGGCGGGTGAGTGGAGTCAGGTCTGGTTGCGTAAAATACATTTGTGAGCAGTGTCCGGAAAATCACTCTCAAATCTCATTCATGGAGTCTCCCTGCGAGAATAAACTCGCGTGCGAATGTGGCAAGCAAAATTCATGCTTGAGATTCTCATGCATATTCACGCACTCACACTCACAACGTCGAACAATCATACCAGCTTTAAACTCATAAAAACCACTCAAACGTCAATTGATAGCATGCTTATGCATGTTGTATTAGTTTCCGAACCCCTGCTGCACAAACAAGAGTAATTAATAGCGCCGACATATGAAGAAATGAATTTTTGAACCTGAAAACTCAGCGGTGATTTTTGCGACGTTCCATTTTGGCTGGCAAAACTCTAGGCGCATAAACTCATGCATGAGAATTGAGTGTTTGAGTTTTTTCGAACACTGTTTGTGAGAATATCATTTTGAGTTTTCAGTAGTCACGTTTTGTTTGTAGTTTAAATTTCATTTCTTTCATGTTGTTATCGTAAATAATAGTTATTCAATAATAGATCATTCATCCATATATTCAACAATAAATTCAACGAATGACTATAATTTGGATACCTACCAATTGGACAGAATCAGTAGCAAGAATAGGTTGCGGAGTGTTCGCCTTCAAAAATATCAATATGTTTTTCAGGCTTGTAGTTTTGGATTTCATGAGTGGTCTGGCTCTGGC